CAGGGGGCTGGACTCGATCTTCCGGGGTCCCTTCCAGCCTTAGTGTCTATGAATCTATGAAATGGAGCTCTCAGGGGGTAGGGGATGTGCAGTTGGGGTCAGGGTGCAGAAGCGGCAAGACAAGGGGCAGGGCAGTCTCTTACCCGAGACCAGGCCATTGAGCCACTCGGGGGCGGGGGGTGAGGGAAGCTGCAACAGGCATTTCTTCTCACCTGAGGTCAAAAAGTAGAGCTGCGAGTCCCCATGGATACCCACGGTGCCAGGCCCCAGTGAATCCGCCAGGAGGTTGATCATGGAGAAGGCACCACTCATGAGTCCGAAGCCCAGGCCAGCCACTGTGGGGGCAGATGCATGGTGCTGAGCTGGAGATGCCAGAGGCCCTAGCACCCCAAGGGAGGGCCCATGCCTCAGGGACCATCCCTGCAGACAGCCACCCTGCTACCCCCGCCCCCAAACTGTGCTGAGGACTTCTGCACACACCTACCCTTATCCTGAAGGGACTCCTGGGGAGAAACACCCTCCTTCCCCTCCCCCTCTAGCATCCCAGGCTCCTGCCACCCCCTAACCCTGTGCCCCAGCCAGGGGGCGGGACTCACCATATGCCATCTGCTGGATGGAAAGGGGGGAGCAGCCGTCTTCACTGAGCGCCACCAGCCCCTCGATCGCCTTCCTGGGCAGAGGAGACAGTGCCCATCAGAGCCCAGCCCAGACGAGGCCCCCACACTGCAGTGGGAAGGGGCGCTTATTCCCGATTGCCCCTTGGCACTGGCACAGGCAGGATGGCCACAGCTTCTGCCCAGGTGCTCACCACAGTCCTGTCCAATGCTGCCACTGAGGCCTGGCTGGAGGGTCCCCGGGCACCAGTGATGGGAACCACCCTTCGCCCCAGGCAGCTCCAATGGGGGCGCAGAGTGAGGGTGACTGGATGGCCATAGGTCCGAGCCCTGGAGAGCAGCAACACTGGTGAGGATGGAGGGGCCACAGGAGACAGGCAGGCATGCATGAGCTCCCTCATGATGCTGTAGTTCTAAAGGCCAAGGGATGCTGGCTGTGTGAACACGTCCTGCCAGCCCCAGGCTCTCCAGCACCTGGGTGGGGAGAAGCTTGATGCTGCATGCGCACCCTGCCCCCCCCCCAAATGATCACAAACTGCCAGCCAGGTGCTGCAGAGAGGGGAGAAGGGGAACCCTCCCTCTCTGCCTGGATGGTTTGGACTGGGTAGAGCAGGGCACCACACACACACAACTCCCCCCGCCCCCAATGGTCACAAACTGCCAGCCAGGGCACTGCAGAGAAGGGCACTCTGGACACCTGGGCTCCACCCCTGGCCAGCTGAGTAAGCCAGAGGAAGACAGCCCCCCCTCTCAGTACTCCCTTAGCCCACACAAGCTGCAAGTGCTGTGGGCAGGGATGGCCTCTTGCAACATGTCTGTGCAGCACCCAGGCCTGCAAGCACCAAGGCTCAGCGGCCTAGGAAGCAGCCTCTGCCTGGCAGGAGGTGTCACTCCCAGGCCCCCTGGAGGCAGTGCCCAGACTCTGCCCCATACAGGGCTGGGCTGGCAGCTGGCCTGGGCTCCATGGGCAACACCCAATCGTCAGAGCATGGAGCAAAGTGCACTCAGCTGGGAGATGTGCCAGGAAGGCACACCCCTGTGACAATGGTGCCTGGAGTTGGGGGGAGAGCAGGGCTGGGTCTTTAAATGGAAGCCTAGCCCAGCCTGCCAGCATCCAGGCACCCCCCTGCAGGGATGCATGTTCAGGACAGCAGGATCACACCTACAGAGCTGCCTTGTCCAGGAGGCCGCAGCCCGTCCCCAGGGATAAAGACACAGGTCCCTGTGAGGGATTGTGCTGGTGGCAGCCAGCCCTCAGGCAAAGCACAGGTTCACATATCCAATGCCCAGACCAGAGGTAGAAACGTAAAGATGCAGCAGGCGCCAGCAAGGCCCCTTCCCTAGTGGCACTGGCTCACCACTCTTTGCCAGACCTAAGCTGCTTGGGCAGACCAAGATGAGAGGCTGCCTCCCGCTCAGATGCCACCCAGTGCTCTATCTGCCAGACAGGCTCTGGTGCACGACATGTGTGCATACACACCACTGACATCTGCTGACCATCCAGGTGCCCAACTGTCAGCAGGAGGGGAGAAGCCGGCTGCAGTGCCTCCAGCCAATTTATGCTGGACCTAAGAAAGAACTTCTTCACCGTCTGAGCCCCCAAGGCCTGGAACAGACTGCAGCCGGAGGTGGTTCAAGCACCCACTTTGAACGCCTTCAAGACGCATTTGGATGCTTATCTTGCTGGGATCCTATGATCCCTGCTGACTTCCTGCCCCTGGGGCAGGTGGTTGGACTCGATGATCCTCCGGGGTCCCTTCCAGCCCAAATGTCTATGAAATCTATGAAGTCAGGGAAGCTGGGATGGTTCCAGGGACACCAACTCCTCGAGCAAGGACATGCTCCACAGCAAGACAGCGCATGTTCCACAGCAGCCACCCCAGCCCCTCTCCATTATCCCAGTCAACTATTTTGCCCTCACTGCTACTGTCCTGCATTGAGGATTTGGCCACGAGATCTCTCAGTCGCTTGTGCAGCCACCTCCAGAGCTCCTTGCCCAAGGACCAGTGTGGCAGACCTGCTTCCACCATTGCGCTTTGGCCCAAGAGGTCTCTCTCCCCAAGTGTGCTGACTCCAGCTCTGAGCTGACTCTGAGACAGGAGGGCTGGGGAAGAAAGCAATGGGGCAGCATTGCTGCAGCCCCAGATTCAGGGAGGGGCCAAGGTCTGTCCAGCCACGTCTTAGCTCAACTGCCCAAGTCCCAGCTGTGCCTAATGCACAGGTCACACCAGCAGCTGGAAGCAAGGGACGTGCTCCAGTCCCATCTCCAGGCAGGGACGACGGGAGGTGGCATGAGCTGTATCATGTAGGTGCTCATCTCTCAGTGCCATGGAGGCCTGGCTGAGCTGGCACTGTGCTGGCTTTGCCCCTCCAGAGAACAAGTCTGAAGCAAGCAACTCAGGACCTGCCGGGAACCCCAGCACACCATGCCTTTTGTCAATTTAGCCAGCACCAGTGTGACAGTCACATGGAGCAGTGCAGGAAGGAGCCAGGCTGGGGACCCTGACCAGCACCCTACTGCTTCACTGACCCACTGGGAAATAAAGCCTCACGAGCAAGAAAGGTGCTGAGTGTGATCTGCCCTAGCAGGAGCAGGCCCCATGCAGCAGG